AACTCCGGCTCAGAAAAGCTCGTTCGTGCCCAAAACTTGATGCAAATCGCAATGAAACGACTCCAAAAAGAGTTCTATCAGATTCTCTCAATGAACCGAGCTTATCTCGATCCTAAGTCGGTCTCAACTTGATCGTCGGTTGCTTCAACTCAATCGTCGGTTGCTTCAATATAATCGAGCACATCCGACTACGAAGACGAAGACGGTGATATTGGACCCGAAGATGATATTAAAATTGCTGGCGATTCCATCTCAAAAGTTGAAGATGTTTCGAATATGGTCATGGTGGATTTGAGATCAATTGCTGAATGTATGATTTCGGTTGGATACGGTAAAGAATGCGTGAAGATATACAAAATTATAAGGAAATCAATAGTTGATGAAGGCATATACAGACTCGGAGTTGAAAAATTGAGCTCTTCACACCTACGTAAGATGGATTGGGAGGTTTTGGAGCAGAGAATCAAGAATTGGTTAAACGCTGTGAGGATTGCGATTAAAACTCTCTTCAATGGAGAGAGAATTCTTTGTGATCACGTCTTTGCATCCTCGGAAATAATCAAAGAGTTAGTTTATACTGAGATAATTAAAGAAGGAGCGTCAATCCTGTTTGGATTTCTGAAAATGTGGCGAGAAACAGCAAGAAATCGCCGGAAAAAGTTTTTCGGACTCTCGAAATGTACACAGCCATTGCCAATCACTGGCCGGAGATCGAGTCCATCTTCTCCTTCGAATCAACCTCAGACATTCGATCTCTAGCACTAACATCACTCGTCAAGCTCAGCGAATCTGTTAGGACATCGTTAATCGAGTTCGAATCTGCGATTCAGAAGAATTCTTCAAAATCACTGGTCGCCGGAGCTGGAATTCATGCTTTAACGACTGATGTGATGCACTACCTCTCTCTCCTCGGCGATTACAGCAATATACTGGCGGATATTCTAGCAGATTTACCACTGCCTGGGAAATCTTCTTTGCCAGAGTCGTACTTTGACACGTACGATTCCGAAGACTTTCCGTTACCGGCAATTTCTCTCCGATTCGTGTGGCTAATACTCATCTTACTCTGCAAACTCGACGGCAAGGCAAAGCACTACAAAGACGATTCGCTCTCATACCTCTTCTTAGCCAACAACTTAAACTACGTCGTTTCTAAAGTTCGTATATCGAATATGAAGTATTTACTCGGCGACGATTGGTTAACCAAGCACGAAACAAAAGTCAAACAGTTTGCACTGAACTACGAAACGGATAGCATGGAGCCGTGTCGTAGGTTCCCTCCCGGAGGATCCGACAGCAGTAACGTCGCCGGAGGAAGTGAAGGAGTGTTTTAAGAGATTTAATTCGTTGTTTGATCAGGCGTACAAGAGGCAGTCTGTGTGCGTCGTACCTGATAGTAAGCTCCGGGAAGAAATTAAAGTTTCCCTAGCCAGAAAGCTTGTGGGGGTGTATCGGGAGTTCTATAGTGCTCATAGGCTTGTGATTGGAAGAGAGAGAGATTTGGCTCTTGAGGTCAGATATACCCCTGAGGATGTGGGGAATTAATTATCAAATTTATTCTTTGGGAAGGCTTAGTCAGGGAGTTCTTCGTCATTTTCTATGTCAACGTCACAATTACGGCCCGTTGAGGTTTTTTTTTTTTTTTTTGTCCGACACTATTATAGAGAAAGACACATGAGAGGTTCAAATTCGCGGTCTTAAAAATGTAAAGATAGGGAAGATGACCATTTAGTGAATCCCTAACCACCCCATTATTTATTCAATTTTTAAATAATGATTTGGAGATTTCTAATGGAGGTATATATATGTTGTAATTAAATACTTTCAAAAAAAAAAAGGATTTTTTTGTGACTTTATCTGCTAATGTTTGATAGCATTTGATTTTTCTTTTGTTTGTATTGATTTTTTTTCAATTTAAAAAAAAAAACATATAATAAAAATTTTGAAAAAATAAATGACAAATAGTCTTATTCTCATTTTTATCTAACCCACTTTTAGAGTATGTGAAATTTCCATGTGCAAAAATATGTTGTGATCGTTCACTATTACATTTCCTCGGATGGGTAAATATTTTTCTTTCTTTTTTGTTACTTGAAATTAATTGATTGGGTCAATTGAATGCAATCAAAAGGGTGCAATGAAGTTCCGTTTTAAATTACTGCAATTTGATATTGTCTCAAACCTGTGATTAAGGTTGTCAACGGATTGATCTTTTCTGATCCAAATTTGAAATTCGAATTTGATCCATTTATTCGACAGATTTTAAAATTTTAATATATATCCGCATCCGTTAATAATTAAATATCTGATACGATTACCTATTTTGATTTGAAAATTTGAATCTCAACAAAATTTTATAAAATATTAGTTTGATCTAATTTAAGTTAATTTTTAACCTAATTTAATCAACAAATCATTTTATTCAAAATTTCTATTTAATTTGATGTCAATCTTATTAATAATCTAACCAAGTATGTATATATATATTGTAATTTCTCTCAATTAAATAACTATATATATGTACTAGATTGGATTTCTATGTATCCAAAATCAAATCCATTGAAAAAAAATTTGAATAAATTGATTAAAATATTAATTTATATTTAATTAAATAGACTTAAATTAAAATTGAATTCAAATTAAAATTCGCTCCATTGACGGGCTACTTGTGATGTCCCATCTTAATTAGTTCCAATGATGTGCACTTTTCTGCCATTGACGTTATGATTGCCTTTTCTTTTTAGTAACCCATAGTTGAGAGCAAAAACAAGAGAAAGTAGTTAGCCAACCATAACATTGTTTAGAACATGATAATATTTGCATAGACATCAAGAATCAAAGGTTTCCTAACATACATCTAAGATTTAGATCAAAAAAAAAAAAACCTATATGTATACATAGCCCTAGTCTCAATGTAAGAGAAAGAGAAGAAATCCCCTACCTTAAATCAAAGTTTCAAACCAAAAACCCAAGCTCTAATGACCTCTTTTCCTCTATCTTCCCAAAGGGTGCTAAGGGGTTTGGGGGTGAGAGATGTGAGAAAAAAATGAAAGAAATTGGCTGGATTCTGTGTTTTAAACACAGCAGTCCGCGACAAATCACTGTTCATGGCTGAATTTTGAGTTTTTTTTCAAAATTACAGTTTTGCCACTAGAAATCTCCAATTTGATCCATACGACTACCCTAAGGTTTTTCGATGTTTCGGATTCATTTTTTAATGTTATTTTAACCTAAAACATTGCTTTTTATGATTTATTTCAAAACTAAAGTAAATTCACACTTGGAACATTAAAATTTCTATTTTATTCCTTCGAACTACTATAGGTGATATCCTTACGATTTTAATATATATATGGTTTATTCTTAAGTCATTACATATAGAAGAATCACTAAACAAGTACATTAATATATTAATGTAAACATATGAGGTTTTACACCTTCAAGGTCTAATAAGAAAGCACAACCCTTTACTATCCAAGGAGCACCATAGTGCAGATTTTTGGTCAACTTCATAGAATAAACTGATTTGACTCAGGTATTTCTAGGAGGTGTAACCTATATGGTTGGAAAGATATACGAGTTAGGGTTCTAACAAAAATAATGGTGCACAATTCGGACTTTCCAATAAAGAGTTATGATGAAATTAGCGAAAGGTAGTCTGCCGGACAGATTTTTGGACAGTGTAGACACTACTTCGTAATATGGACATAACTCCTTCCTTCTAGTTCCGATTGAGATGATTCAAGGTGATATGGAATCCTAAGAGAGAGCTCTACAAATTTCATGTTTTAAGTTTTGAGAGATATGGACTGCATCAAGGTTGAAATGGAGCTTGATGTTACAGCCAGTGCACTGTTCATCCCTTTTTCATTCTACCAAATTCAAACACACATCACTACACATATCCCCATTTTTACAACAATTATTTACTATATATCCATATACATATATAAAAGAAAATGCGGGGTATTACAGTATATGTCCTGTTTCAAGATGATTGCATGTACTCAATAGGTAGGTCACAACTAAAAAGATCTGTTTAGAATTCGATTATATTCCAAAAAAAAATATATCCAGTTAGAATAATATTTCTCTGTTTGTTATTTTTATGGTAACCAACCACCAAACTAGCACAACCACCACTATTGACAGTAACACTTAAACATACAAGCACTCACACACACATAGGCACCAATAGATATAAAAACACATCAAAAAAGCAAATATATTTTTTGGGACCAAATTGCAAAGAAAAGTTACTTCAAAAATATTACCAAACGGAACCAAAAAGTGCAACCGATTCACCCTTTTGTTCATGAGATCATTCATGAGATCAAAAACTCCAAGCTTCCATATTGTGCTGTAGCCATGTTTTTGCACAGCATATTACATGCAAAATTTTTATGTTTGTGAGTGAGGATTGATAGCCTTAGCTCTCCCTCTCCCATTGCTCAATCCGTATCTTGAAAGCAACGGTACATTTCGCCATGGTGGCCCAGCAGTCGCTGGGAGTACATAATTGGACTATTCTTTCTTCTCCACAAAGGGCATTCATATTCCAGTGATTAATGTTTCCTTGAGTGATCAGCTTAATTGGTTTAAAATACCATCCCAACGCCAACTGCCACAGACCAGCAGGTTTGTTGAGTTTCTTTACTAGTCAATGTAATTTTAAACCTTTATTCCCCATATTCCATCACTACTATCTTATTTCTCACGGAAACTACCGTGGTTTGGTCCCATCCGAGTAACGCTTGATTTTATAAACTCATTTGCAGCCAATAGGATGCTTTTCCACAGGAAAAGGAATCCAGGTATTGTTTGTCTCCAAGGCATAAATTTTTGTTTGCACAGTCGGAAGGTTGAAAAGCTTGTCCAAAAGTTTTGGACTCATGCATAGAAGACAAAGATGATAAAAAAAGCTATGTGAGAATGAGAAAATTTATCATAATAAAAATAGTTAGGAAGAGGAAAAGGTGTACCTGATGATCTTGTAGTAGGTGAAGAAGATTGGACTTGAGTATTAGAACAAACATAATCATTGAGATGTGGTGGTTGCCGAGTATCCCGCTCACAATGACGTAGAGTAGGTGATCCAAGTGAAGGATTGGATGGACTTGAATGATTGGGCAGATTTGAGATAAGAGATAACTCCGTTGTGGATGGTTGAGTGGCCTCAAAATGAGTGGGGGTTTGTTCACCAAAAATTGATATAGGCAAAGGAAGGACTGGTGCAGTGGAAGAAGGTGGTATGGAGT